TTATGAGGACATGCACCTTCATTATTCAAAGTAAGTCCACTTGTTTTAAAGTTTCAATAAGATCTATAAAACACTAAGGAATAATATTTATAAATTCTAGTAATTTTCAAAATACTGAAACATTAATTTTAACTACTGAAACATTGAGTATTCTTAAATTGTAGTCCAAGAAATAACTATAATAATCCACATATTAATGGATTATCACTTTGTCTGGATATATATATACACACTCATTTTTTTTTTTTAAGATTTATTTGTGCATATAGAACTGGAGTACAGGCCAGAGGCTCAGGGGTGGCGAGAGGCTTCGCCAGAGACAGAGTGGGGAGTAGAACAGGCAGATCAATGAAGTACTGAGGGGAGCAGCGACGGGTCAGGAGAGGTCTGCCGCGCCATGTGGTCACTTCCGGAGCCGGCAGGAATCGAACTCATGCAGAAGTGGCTTTAGCTTCTTGGTGCTGTGCTTTAACCCGCTGCGCCACCAGGGAGAGCCCACACACTCATTTTTTAACCTCACAGACAGAATTGACCTATAGAGCAAGAATAAACATATTTAAGATATGTAAATACATTAGCTGAATAATCAAGTCACGTTTTGCTGTTTGCTGATTTTTTTGACAAACCTCCACTAAATCAAAATTTCATATGTAACCAGCAATTTGGCAGTCATTAGTCTTAAGATTTTTCTTTCAACACTGTGCCAGAAATTTATTGTTTAATAAATGTATAGCACCAATCTATACACATATATAGAAAGAGACATATCTGTGTTACTTGTAAAATTATAAATCAGTATATGGCAATGTGGTATGACAAATTAAAATTTCCAAAAATTTTCTTCAGGACAGCTAATTCTAATTTTGATTCAGTGTTTCTTGAAAACCTTATTAATTACAGGAAAAATTGTAATTTTATAAGGTTTTTTATTTTTGATGAATTCTCATGTGAGACCCAGGGAATAAGTTTTCCTATAAAATGATTCTATATTCCCTCTATCATTTATCAAATACAGATATTGTACACATTATATGACATCTCTAAATATTCTTTTCTTCATTCTTATCCTACTTAGTGGTTTTATTTTAAATATGAAATGAGATAATGCATGCAAAACATTCAGATTGCTGCCAATAAATTATTAAGCATTCAGCAGTTCATAGGTTTCTATATAATAGCTATATATGTGTTGGGACAATTTATTAAAATCAATCAGATGTTTATGATTATAAATATGTAAATATATATGTGAATTTATTAATATTTAAAAATTTCAATCATGAGTCCTGATAGTCTCTTTACCAGACCTAAGGAGTGAACAAAACACACAAATATCCCTCCTTTCATAAGTTTTATATCCTTATGAAAGATATATGCATAGTTAATTTACAGTATTACTTAAATTTGTATACATACTATGTCAGAAAAATAAAGAGATAAAAAACTTCAATGAAAAATCATGAACTGAATCTTTTGGTAATGTGTGAGGTATTTCATTTGTTTGGAAATTATAAATGAAAGTAAAGTGTTGGCATATAAGAACCGCTATTTGCTTTTATCCATTGCATCTCCATGTTTTATCATTCTTTTACTGTTGGTAGATTAAGTGGACTTTTTGGTCATTTTATGAATCACACACAAACATGCATATATGTTTATGTATGTATACATGTAAATAAATCCACCAATTTTTAAAATATCTAACATTTTTGTAATATTCTTTAGTATTCTTTCAGAGTGTTTTAATATATTATAAAGTCCATCAATTTCATATGTTTAGTAGGAAATATGTTATTTTAGCTGAATATAGGTAGAAAGAAAATTTGAAAATCAAAAGGATATATAAAAAACTAATTCAGTAAACTCTTTGACAACTGCAAGTACCATCTCTCGAATTCTTCAGGGAGGGCGGGTTTTAACTTTTGTGCCCACTTCTGCCTGAATCACTTGGTCAAAGTCACCTGCCTCTCCCTGGAGCTGGAAGAGAGATACCCCAATCTTTACCATGTAGACTGGGAAGGAGATAGGAGTTGTCTTCAAAAGCTGTCTAATGTTGTTTTTAAAAAAGAAAAGAAAGTGATTCTAGATGGGCTTAAGTGGTAACAGGTATCTATGCCAAAAGGCATAGTTATTATTTATATTGTATGCACAAGTAAACAGGCCTAAGGAAAGAAGGACGATATTCTGCTTTGTTGTAAATCTATTTAGACATGGTGTTTTTCCCAAGGAAATAAAAAGCAGTATCTTAATTGTGCAGAACAATAAAAAATGATTTATAGTTGTGAATACATTCAAGGAATGCCATTCCCTCCACCCTTAGAAAGAAGACATTTGATAGCTATGTTATCATCTTCAAACTAAAGGGTACAGAGATAGCTTTATATAGACATACATAATTGGGTGTTTTATGGACGTTCTGGAATGCATATCTCTCAAGGACTAACATTTTAATGGGAATACACTACTCAAAAAAAAACATAAATTCTAGACTGAATTCCCTCACTCTTTATTTTTGCATCCAGACTGGTTATAGTGCCTGATTCAATGAAGGTACTCAATAACTTCATGTTGAACAATGAGTGAAATGAATAAAAGACAACTCAAGTCTACTTATGTACTGAGTAGTGAGTGATATAGTCTGAGTATACCTCATAAGAATTTCCTGTTATGGAACTGAAAGATTTGTGAATGTGTTGAAAGAACACTATGACTTCTGCTGTTTACCCTAATTGCATTTTGAGAAAAGCTATCACATATGCATATCCTTGTTTAGGGATTAACCATGAACAGCTCCACACATACTGACTTTGTCTATACAACACAAATGTTTGCAACAATACTTAAACATTTGATAATTGATTTTCCACTAAATACTAGTTTATGGTGTGCTTTAGAAGTGATTACATTGGACTAAATTAAATTTATCTCCTGAGAACCTGAAATGTCAATGATCCTTACAAATTGTAGTAGAGAACCATAAACACTGTTAGGATTTCTTTTAAAGGAAATATACACTCACACACACACACACACACACACACACACGACATTTATGGCAGCATAATCTCAAAACAAAGATGGTTTTATAGTCCCACTTTCTCTCTCTTCTCTCTCTCTTTCTCTTTCTCTCTCTCATACACACACATACATATACCCCGGCTGTTATTTCAAAACTTTCATATTAGTTTTTTTTTTTTTTTTGGTGTATCAATTACCCTAGAAATTTTCACTGTTCATGTAATGAATTGCTAATAGAAGTTGGAAAACTCCTCTAAACTCATTATTGTCTTTTCAATAGAGGCATGGATATGCATAACATCCCAATGTTTTTTCACTTCCAGTTTATGCCTGGAATACTGTCTTCCAAGACAATAGTTCAGTTGTTACAGGAATGATTTAAAGAGGTTGATCAGTGAAATAGAGAAATTTTGAAGTTTTTTAATTACAGCTGGAGCCTGTAAAGCTTAGGAATTGTTTGAGTATGGCATAAGTAGTGAATTAAGAACTACAGAGTAATAGTTTGAAATTTCTAAGAGCATGAGCTATTATTTGTCAAATCTGCATTGCAGAATATCAGCTAGTTTCTTTTAAAACCTAAATGACTGTGATTGGTAAAGTGACATAGTTCTATGCTTGGAAATACTTATGTGACATATAAAAATGTTTTTAAAGTGTCAACATAAAATAATATTTTGTGTGCATTATAATTATTTGGACAATTCTATTTTTGGCAATCTCTAATTGAGAAATAGAAAAAAAATATTTACTTCAGTTCATTGGACTTATCTAATTTCAAGTTTTCCTCTAAATTTAATAATATCCAACATTATGAAGAAAGTTGTGAAAATACAATTATTCTATTAATAAGTCTCTACCCCTGAAATAAAACCACTGTTTGCTACTGCTTTGAAAATCTATTGAATCATAAATGAAACATTTTTCTGTTATGCTCCCTTACAGATACAGATCAAATGTCAATTTCTAGTTTGAGTGGTTTATAAAGCAATAAATGTATGTTTAAAAATTATGTTATAATATTATACAAATTAATATTCATAGTACTTTTTGCCTCAGATAAGTCATTATATGCCAATGTTTACAAAAATATGATAGTGCCACATTATAATATTGGTTTGGAAAAGTAAGTAATATTCTTAAGGGCCAGTTACAGTTGTGTTTTAATATTTCAAGAATATTTACGTGGTTCAAACAGTTTTTTCCTTCCTAAGATATTGGGAAATTTTTCCCGTCACATCATTATTGAAACAACCTAAGTAAAAGATTTCTAGCCAATAGGATGAGTTGCCCCAAGTCCTGTTTGAACAGGTGGACTGAATCATAGACTAAAGAGCCCTGTCCAAGTGCTTTGACCACCACCACACTGACCACAAAGTGCCACAACAGACAAAAAGCATTAGATCCTGACTAATAACTATCTCACAGTTTCCTGGAGGGAGAAGACTGAGAGCCAGCATGCTCTTCTGGAATGCAATCTGTCTGCTCATGCCTGAGCGTAACCCCATGCAAAACAAGCTACCACACTGCTTTTCTGTCCCCTGCCTCATAGATCTGTCTTTCTCTTAACTCCCTTCCAGAAACCAGGATAATTTTTCCTTTCCAGCACTGGTGCAAGATTCATGCATGAATCTCTCTACTATAAAAATGCTTTGCTTGCACTCAGGAAATTCTTAGCACTATTCCTAGCATTCAGGTGAATTCTTTCCCTAGAGAGTAAAGGATACATTCAGTTTGGAGCCTGTGACATTATGACTACCCCAAATATGTGTAAAATACAAGGTGTTCATGTTAGTTTCTTTTGAATTAAAGATGAAATCAACAAACTTATGAGATTAGAATAAAGCAGCACAATGTAACTAGTAATAGCCCCCTTTTGACTAGGTAATCACAAAATAATTTTCTAACATTTGAGCCAGCAGTCCTGTACCTATCTTTCCTTTAGAAAAAAGTATGGTAACATTTTGTTTCTTTCTTTGATTTAGACCATGGTACTGTGCAGAAGGTCGTTGTTCTTCCTGCTAACAGCTCTTCTAGTGGTGAGCTCATTCTGGAGGAGTTGGAAGTTTTTAAGGTTTGAATATCTCTTCAATTAGTCTCAGAGCATGTATGACGAGTGGAATTCTTTAATCTTTCAACCACTTGGGAGGAAAAGATATTTTATAAAAGATCAAATAAATGTATGTTATAAATTTTAAGGATAGAAAACATCAGATAAAATGAGAAATATAGAGCACATTTTTTTCTGAAGTTATTTTTTTATTTTTACATTTCAAGTTATCTTAACATAAAAGGATGAGGCTTTTTTTTTTTTCAGCTATCATCACAACTTGAAAACTTACGTTCTTTTTTTTTAAAATGGGCTCCTGTGGTCAAGGTCTAGATTTGTCATGAAAGGGCTTTATCACTTGTTTCACAAGTCACTGAAACCCAAATGCTTACCTATTATTGATAGCTAGATAAACTCATATTTTTTGAGCCGGTGAATTCAAGAAAAGCTGCTTTGTTTTCTCTTGTTTTATAGCTTGAAATTCAATTGTTCCTCTAATTAAATTAAACAAATACTGTCTCTTACCACGCTGAGACTTCATGCTCTGTCTGAACTTGAAATTTCTTTGTATTATCTTTTTGTCCTTGTTTTTTGATATTTAAAAAAGAAAAACAAGTACAAGGAAAAAAAGAGGCAGTTCAATCCTAAATGATCTCATCTGCTGAGGGAAGTGTGCTTATTCTTTATTTATCTATGAGCTTGGGTAGCAGTTTTGTCTAGCCTGCACACCCTTCTCTCCTTAAGAGGTAGGTCATTGTAATTCAAGTGGTGCCTATTATCAGCATTTGGAAAGATGGTTCAGCATAGCCAGAGAGCAGCTAACATTGCAAAGAAACTTTGGCATGGAATCAATCCTATTGCAGACTCCTATTTCTAACTCAACCACTTAAGAAACAATGGCCCACAGATAACAAAAGGCAGAGTCAGTCTATAACAGAGTAAAAGTAGCACTTTTGAACCCCACAAACAGACTTTCATAGGTCAGTAAGCTGCTTTGTTTAGTGGACACAAGAATATACTTATTTTATTAATATACTTTCCCATGGTCATCAAAAATAGTGACTTGAATTTATAAAAAGTATTCAAAATGCAGTGGTGTTAGACTATATTAATAAATTTCAAATATGAAGAAATATAAAAAAATAAATAGAAAATCTGAGGAACTCTTGTAAATTTCCAATATTTATATATTTACAATAACAAATTTATAATATTCAATACTAGACTCACTTGCTTTGACATAAGCTTCTTTATTAGATTACTATTATAGGCATAGCATGTTAACTGTGTATTTTCAAGTGTCTGTGACTTGCTTTTCAAATAAATTGAATGTTTCACTAGAAACCAAAATTGTGTTATATACAAAATATTTTTTTCTCATTCAATTCAATATGAACATCTTGACTCACTAAAAGAAGATAGATTATCTTACTCTGGAGTTTCCTTCAAGATAGAAAAATTGTCATGTTGAAGCACTTCACCTTTAATTTTCATATGTAGTCTTTTTTGATAATTAGAAAGCATTAAGTTTGACACAAATCCAAACATATATGTTATAAAAACTACTTTAAAAAATGTGTTATTTGTTATTTTGCTCATGTGTTAGATACTTATGGTCTGTTATGTCAGTTATGCTTATGTTTTCATCATGAAGAATAAACTCCCAGTGGAAAAATAGAGTCAGTCAAAATGCATGTGGGGACATTATCCCAAAAAAGACAATAAAAATGTTGCTTATGGATTTATGTGCCAGTGATTGATAATAGCTAAATGGAGAGATGCAGTTACCAATTACAGTTACTATCTTCAACACAGTGTTTGTGTCACATTTTCTGAGATGAGGTAAAAATAATTTGGTGTGTATGATATACTACCATGGAACATAGGAAATAACACATTTAAATTGAAAACATAATCTGTAGGTAAGTGTCACACACTGATATTCTGTATAAAATATTATTTTTAAAAAACAGGCTCTTTGTTTTTAGAGTGCAGACCACAGAACCATAATCTCTTATTTTAATCCTCTGTGAAAAACAGTTTCTGAAAATATTTTTAGTTTTCCTAAACCTAACTTGAAGGTCCAGCTATTAATAGTTGCCTAAGAGGATCTAAGTTAAAATAGTGTGTGTGTGTTTCTGAGTGATGCTCAAAACTTACTGCAATTGATATTACCATCTTCTTTCTAAGTGTTTATAAATACAAAACAACACTAGAATGTAAAATAATTGTGGGCACAGTTGTTTTTGAGAATTTGCTTCCACTTAAATATTTAATAAAGCTCCAGGAATTTTTTCAGATTATCTCATCTAATTTTTAATCTTTAAAAGAAACTAATATGTTTAAGAAGTAAAGTTGTGAATAGAATGACTTTCAAAAAGAATTACTATTTTGGAAAACTCTTAGAGTCACTAAGTCACATTCCTAAAAGAGGAACTTTAAACAATACTCTTTGTTTGCAACAAAGAGAATTAATGACACATCTTTCTGAAGCCACATTTGGCAGATGAATAATAGTGTCTTAAACAGAGCACTATGTTGTGGAAAAATGAAATGGGGTAGCATTTCACAGCCTCCCTACCTCAATATCTATTACTTCGCTCTTTTGGAAAACTCTTAGAGTCACTAAGTCACATTTTAAAAGAGGAACTTTAAACAATACTCTTTCAATTCTCTTGAATTGTTTTTTTTTTTTTTTTTTCATTTTTACTGTCTGTGTTAACAGATGTGTTATAATCCCAACTGTTTAGTTCAGACCTATTTTTATGTAACAAATCCTTCTTTCACCTACAGAGTAAAGTAACTTTTTTAGACAAATATAAAATTTTCAAAGTGTGAATTCATATAGTGAAAAGTGTTGATTTTATGATTTTAAAAGAGAAAATATTTTATGTGCTAAATTTTTAAGGAATATGTTTAGTTAACATGCTTTTCTAATCTTTCAGAATCATGCTCCTATAACAACAATGAAAATTTCATCCAAAAAGGTAAAAGAGCCCCATTTTATTGCCTTTGAATATAAATAACTATGTTATATGAAAACTATATAATTTATAATTCCTGAAAAAATAATCTTAGTATTTGCATAATAATAATGTTTATACTCAATTATGTTTAATTTTAATGTAGCATTTATTAGCTACTAGTGGAAAACAAAATAGGTAATTTTTGCATAGGCTGTCAGAGCAGAGCATATTATAGCAAGATAGTCCCAACATTTTGTGTATCCTATATTTTCAAATATTACAGTATGTAAAACCAACCAAAATAAAAATAATCTTTCTGAAGGAAGAATTTAGTGTAATTTTTGGGCTACTATAACATCACAGACATTCTCAAGAATGAAAAAAAATTTCTCTTTTGAAATCTTTGAAATCTTGTTCTTGTCAAATGTTTGAAATGTACAGTGCATTCTTTTATACTTATTTCTAAAGAAGTGCTATATTTTGAGCTTATGCATGTTTTTAATAAAACATCTGACTATCTCAAAAGTAAACCGTAACAGAAATCAGAATTTGGGGAAGACATACTTGATTTTGATTATCAGACATGTTTAATCTTGTAATCAGTGCCTTCATATACAAATAAACAATGATTGAGATAGGAAAAGCCAAATTCTAATTTCTAAAGTTACAAAATGTGTACCTCTCCAGCCCGCAAATTCTTTCCCTCTAAAACAAAACTTCTGAAGATCAGAATTATGAACAAATCATTTAAACTTCAGTGACCTAAATTTTTGTCTCTGCAAGGTAATTACTTTCTCACAAATGAGTTAATGTATATAAGTTGCCTACAATAAAGTAGGTCCTTGGGAAATGCTATTTGTAAGAGCCTAAGACTTATTTTTCTTGGAATATGAATTAAAGGTTTTATGTGTTAGCACAACAGATGACATAACTTGAGTGTTCTTTACCATATTTGGTCTGTTACAGATGAAGAAGTATTCCAAAGTCAGTCTTGTACTCTTTTCACTTGACTAAATTTTATGAAGAAAAATAAATAGGGCATAATGGAACTAAAGATCTCATCTGTAAAAATGTTTAGATGGTACATAACGAACATTTTCCCAAGTTACAAGAAGCTATTTGTCATTTTCCCCAATGTCCTAGAGAGCTGATCCCAAGTTAGAATTGTCTTTGAAATCAGCAGGGAAGTCCTTTGTTTACAGTAGCTAAATAGAAAGAAAAAGTTTCCAATCAAAATTCAAAATGGACTCAAAGACATTTGTTTGACTAATAGTTTTACACACAATGACAAGTTTCAGCTTGTAATTCAGCTTGTGAACTTCTGGCTCACAACCCAGTCCATAAAATTATAATGTAAACATGAACCTACATCCAGGAAAAAACTTGAGTATTAAGTATTTTTTCAATATAAAATATATATTCTAAAGTGTTTAAGCCAATTAGATTTAGAGCAGACTAGTTTGATTTCTTTTGAAATGTGTTTATGCAGTGGCATACTGAATTTTTTCTCCCTGTGTGAAATTGCCAGTGTTATTTATATATATTTAAATACCTTGTTTTTAGTGCCTATGTTAGTGTTTGATTTTATTACCCCAGATGTAGTCTTTCATTCTCTAATTTATTTATGTATTCCATGTAGCAGAAAATAGTTGAATTAATTAAAAAATAATTTCTAAAATGAGACTACTTTTATCATTTTCTCAAGTAAATTGTTTTCTAAAATATTTTAATAAAGCTGTTCCATTCACTGTGTCATTTATTGATGTTTTCAATGAAACCTTATCCCAAATCTACCTACAGAAATTATTATTGTGAAAGCAAGAAGAGTGGTTTATAATAGTTTTAATATCTCAATTTATGAGCAATCATTTTCATCACAATTTCTGAAAAATAATTTGAATCAAATAATTGTTTTTACATTGACATAATACAGTGAGATGTGATTCAAATGACTGATTAGTATTCAGAACTTAGTAGTCAGTAGTTTGTTAACTGACAGTTACTGCTACTATAAACGTTCATTCAGTGATGATTAGCCTGAAGGTATTCTAAGTAGTATATGTGGAATTAGCTCTTATTGCATTTAGTTTCTTACAAAAATTCAATAAGTTAGGTGTGTTATATTATCTCAACTTTATCAAGAGGAAACCAGGGTTATGAAAAGACATAAAGGGCTTGGCATGGAGTCTCCAAGCAGTCTTCCCCTAGACCATGATAGGCTGATGATGCCCCATTGACTTAATGTTTAAGCGGTATGTGGATATGAATAGTATAAATATGTACATGCATGGGTGCATGTGCATGAATATAAAGTCCAGTTTAGAGACTATAAATTAACTGGAATTACATAGTAGCAGTATTTTGTAAAACGAGGAGTATCGATTAAAAATGGATCCTTTTAGCTCCTGAGAACAATTTTATGTACAATTAAAGGAACTGGAGAAGTAGTCTAAGACTCTTGACACCCAGTAATAAAGGAGGGTGAAATCTTAATTTACATCCTACTTAGAGTAATGAACAGTGGCAAGTCATACAGGAACTTTAGACATCTAAATATAAATAATAATATTCTTTAAATAAATTTTTTGGTGTTTTAATGAATAATATATTACTCCCAGGAGACATGGAATTAAAAAAAAAATACCTAATACTTGCTGTCTACTTTTTTCTAACTAAAAATTACCCATTATTTTAAATTTGATATTTGATATTTTCAAATTTACAAGGTATTGGGTTGCCAGGCTTGAAGAATAAGAAAGTTGTCTTGTGCTTTACTAAGAGACAGCATTCAAAGAAAGAAAGAAAACATTATAATTTAAATCTGCAATATATTAGCTCAAATCTGAGAGAACAATGAATCCCAATGTCTAAAACACACTACCATTCTACATAGAACTTTGAGTTTTTTTTTCAAACAGGAAAGTGGTAATGTTATAGGCATATTAATGTAGGAAAATTCTATTTATTTTGGCTTTATCCCCTTCAGTACTTTACTCTCATTTTTAGTCTATTTCAGAATGAGTCCAAGGGTTTGTAGGCATGTATATAATGGGTTCCTGCTGAAAGTCTTCTTTTAGCTTCCACATCTGAAATAAATCATTATGATTCCTCTAACAGCAACAGTTGTATGTGAGCTCTAATGAAGGGGTTTCCCAAGTGTCACTACACCGCTGCCACATCTATGGCACAGCCTGCGCTGACTGCTGCCTGGCCAGGGACCCTTACTGCGCCTGGGATGGCCATTCTTGTTCCAGGTTCTACCCAACGGGAAAGCGGTGAGTACTGAACTCTCTGCTGAAAATCAAAATTGCTGCCACCCTACCTTCAGAATCATTTCTGTTATGGTAATAGAAAAGGTGGTGCTAAAGGTCATAGGTGCTTCACCTAACACTTAGTAGCATGTAAAATTTGACTGAAGAAAGTGGCCCTGCTTTATAAATTAAGATTCATAAGTTATGTTAGAGCACATTTCTTTGCAAAAAGCCCTTTCTCACTCTATAGGTTTTAGGCAACATGTAGCACCCTTGCAATGTATGACATATTTCAAATAGCATTTTAACTATTTACCTAACTTTTATGTTTTATTTTATATGATACAATGTATGCTGAAATTCCACCTTCTTAGGACTTCTATGTGCAGCTCAATTATCCTGTAATCTAATACTTGTCCTAGTTCAAGTAACAGAAGTGTTGGTCCAGATACTCAACTGGACAAAACCTTTATAGCCATGATTTACCCTTTGAAATGGTAGGTGAATGATTGCTGATTAGAGTAAGAGAGATAGGCACAGCCTGAGCTAGAGTGCCTTTTATCACAGCAAAGACTGAGAAAACTACTTTGAACCAAATTGGATAAACCATCAGTAGTGAAATTGTAGAACCCCCCCCCAAAAAAAAATGCAGAATTCAGAGACAACCAAGGTCACAGCAATTTTCATTTATACCTAGATATGAATCATGATGGACCACAGGGTCAAAACCCCTAAAATAATTGGTTTAACTGGAGAAACCAAATAGGTTCAACCATGAGCACCAATGATCTTGCAAGTAAAACCATGGGGGGGGGGAGGTATTTTATAGTTCATTTACTCTCTGGTATAGATATAAGCTTTAAATATATGGGCAGATTAAATAACCCTAATATTTGTGCATATCAACATTTTTCTGATTCTCTTATCTATTAGTTCATCATATATGTACCATAAGAAAATTATTTATCAGGGAATGTTCTAGGTACATAACATGAAAGTCAATAACACCCAAAAGACAGAACTTCCTACCTTTAGCAATAATAAATTCTAGAAGGCAGAAGCACATTATAAATGAGGAAACCCTCTAGTATATCAAATAATAATGTCAGTGAATTTTAAAATGCAAAGAAGGGAGTTAGGGGTTGTAGAAGGAGGGGGTGTACTGTTAAATGGATGTCATAAGAGGTCTTCTGGAGGATGTAATATTTGAAAAGGAACTTGAATGTGATGAAGAGAGGTACTAAGGCCTTACTGGGGAGAATTGCAACCCAAAGAGAGGGACCAGAAATCCTTGTAATAGAATGGGATTGTTTAAGAAATAATATCAAAAGTAATGGCACTATACTGGAATGAGATAATGAAAGGGTAGAGAGAAGGTAGGACAGTATAAGTCATTGAAGGACTCTAGTCAAATGGAGATATTGCACAAGTAGTTAGAAATAAGAATGTGGAGTAAAGAGGGGTATCTAGACTGGATAATATAAAAGTCTTCTGTATTTGAAAGCTTGAGATATGAAGAAGTTTCCCATGTTTTAAACCAGGAGGCTTTTGTATATGTTTAAAAACTTTGTTCCTCCCATGTATTTTTAAGATTTAGTCAGGTCTCTGGTCTTTACTTTTTTTGGTTTATACATTTTTTCCAGACCTCATTACTCTTTAAGTTTCTGTCTTTGCACTGGACTGGAGGTCGGAACATGGACAAAAAAAATATGAAGGAAAAACATTACAAATATATGCTGAAATCAATTGATTTGTTCTCCTGTTCTCCGACTAAGATTATAATCCCCTATCCTTACTAAAATGTATACTTAAAAACAGTCTATCTTGTTCCCAACACCACATTCATGATCTTAGTCTTGTTTTATAACAAAGAACTTTTAACTCTTTCTTAAAAGATTTATTTATTTATGCATACAGGAACTGGGGCACAGGCCAGAGGCATGGGGGGTTGAAAGGATTCACTAGAGAGAGTGGGGAGCAAAACAGGCAGACTGACGAAGCACCTTGCTGAGGGGAGCAGCGGGCGGGTCAGGGTCACATCCCTGGCCTGTTGCAATGGCTGTGTGCCTCTGCAGTCCCTGTTGCGCCGGCAGGGAGGGCCCGGAAACTTTTAATTCTTTACTGTTACAATCTTATTCCATGTATTAAATAATGTATCATAACTCAAGAAATTAAGCAGCAACTAATTAAAAAGTGATCTTAACAATATCTGTCAGCATCTTAATTCCACCAAAAGAGCAAAATAAATAATTTAAATAAACATTGGTCTTACCCAATTCATCTTACTTATCTTTGACTACCCTATGTAATTCTCAAAATTATGTCCAAACTTAATTAAACATAGATTTGTAGTGACTGCAAAACATTTTTCCTCAATGAATTAGCTTTTTTTCTATATTTCCTTATGCACCATATTTTATCTTTAGAGAATAAGTAGTAATGATGAAAATAATCCTTGGAGTGTTTTCCACATTCATTTCATCTAACAGTTCATTATCTGGTTTTATTCTGCTTACCTAACTGGAACATCAAGAAGACTTAAAGAAAATCATAGGCATACAGAAACTTACCCTTTGTGTAAAACAGAGAAGTAGAGTTACATTTGAAAACCAATTATTTGATGCAATAAAGTTGTTAAATATCATTACTCTGTAGTTTCTCTTTTTTAAAAAAAAAGATTGTTCCTATAAACAGTATAAATATAAATATTATTTTCTACTTTGCCTTCAGATATATAAATATTTGTGCATTTGTGTAAAATATTATAATTTAATCTCAAATATTGTTTAGTCTAGATTAGGGCATGTAGTTAAAAACTTAAAAGACAAGTTAATCAGTTCAATCTAAATATTGGTTTTCTATACAAGAAGAAAATCATTTGACGTTTAGCTGAATGAATAACCTGTAATACTTTCCTAATGCTATACAAATGCCTAAAGAAATCTTCACACAAAAGGTTCAGTTGACTGCCCTGCTGATATCATTGTCCAAGTTAAACTATACTAATGTTTTTCTGTGACTGTTGGGTAATCTATGTGATACTGTAAATTCATATCACCCAGCTTGAGGGTTCATGTGCATGAATAAACTCTAGCATGGTACTGGGTTAAGGACAATAAATTTAACCATTTTGAGTGATATTCTTTATCTACTGTAGTTGGCTGAAATTGACCATTCCAGCCATTAGAACTCACACATAGTGCTCATATGATATGCACTCATAGCTAGAACTGTAGTAAATAAAGCTGTGACTTCAAAGTATAAAAAAATGCATGTAGTTAATGCAGTTCTCACATAGGAACTATTTTAGAGTACGTGTCAATTTCTCATACTGGAGCAGGAATGACTAACTGGTATGTATGTGCTTGTATATGTGTGTATAAAATGATATTTTTAAGAAAACAATACAAAATTTATACTGATATTTCTATAAAAGTATATAACCCATTAAATACATTAACTGTTAATTGGAAACTATTTGCTAAAATTTAATTTTTACATTATTAATGAGTTTGAGATTACTTTGATATACAAATTTGATAATACCTGTGTGATTTTAATTTTTTGACTGGATATTTCAATTTACATTTAAAGGTATAAAATATTAAAAGACAGTTAACTAACGTAAT